GATCCGGCCTTTTATTATAGAGCACACGCACGCACTCTCTCACATGTCAAGCGATCCCACGATTGCGAACAACAATCTCTCTCGATTGCGAATGTGGCGGTAGTCTGCAGAGCTTGGCGGCGCGGCACTGCTCAGGAGGAACTTGGAGCACTTGGAGTGCAGTCATCAACCGCACATCCAGGGCCGGGGAGCTCAGAAGCGCACCCAGCGGGCCGGATGATTGGCATCGGGTTGCGAACGGCCTTTTAGCTTTTTGTTCTTCGACTTCGAGCGAAACTCGATCGGCCCGAGTACGCACACACCAGGGCTCCGATGCTACTTTTGGCTGTCCTGCTTCTGCCTGCCTCGACTGCAGCGCTGCCACTCTCACGTGCGGCACTTCGCCGTTACCCTGCACGTGCGGCACTTCGCCGTTCGCCTGCACGCGCGGCACTTCGCCGTTCACCTTCAGCAACACTGGCGCCTCGCCGTTCGGCTTCGCCGGTCCGGCTGCAGGCGAGCAATGGGCCGGAGCAGCAGCTGGACGGCGCCACCATCTACCAGCTGGCGACGCTCGCCTCGGCGGCGATGCTCGTGCAGGCTGCGATTGGCGCGGTGGTCCCTGTGCTGCCGGCCTTTGCCTCCTCGCTCGGCCTGACCGCCACCGGCGTCGGCGTGGTCGTCTCGACGCCCTCGCTCGCCAAGGTGGTGCTCAACCTCCCCGCCGGGCGGCTGGTCGACAGCCGCTGGGGCCGCAAAGGCCCGATGGTCCTCGGCGCGCTCGTCGACGGCTGCGGCTCGCTGGCGACGGCGGCGGCGACCTCGCTCTCCTCGCTCGTGCCCGCGCGGCTCGCCGTCGGCGCGGGCTCGTCGATGCTGGCCACCGCGGAGCAGGCCTACCTGATGGACGTGGTCGAGCGCTTCCCCAACAACACGGGCGCGCTGCTCGGCACGGTGCAGGCTGTCGGCCTGCTCGGCTGGGCGGTCGGGCCGGCGGTCGGAGGCGTGCTTGCGGAGCGGGGCGGCGCGGTGCGGCTGCCGTACGTCGTCATCGGCTCCGTCCTGATTGGGAGCGCCGGGCTGTACGCCTTGCTGCCGGAGACGCGCCGCGCGCGCGGGTCCGCCGACGCCTCCCCCGGCGCGGCCCGCCCTCCGCCCCTCCGCACGCTGCTCGCAGACCGGTCGCAGCGCGCCCTGCTCGCCTCTCGCTTCGGGCTGATTGTCGGGTGGGCGGCCTGGCTGACGGTGGTGCCTCTCCGCGCAGCGAGCGTCTGGGGCGCAGGCGCAGCCGACCTCGGCCTCATGTTCTCCGCCCTCACTTGCGTCGGCCTCGCCGCCGCCCCGGTCGGAGGCCTGCTCGCAGACCGGCTCG